ATGAACTTGGGTTTCTCCCGGGTGGCCTGGCTGTCAGCACAGAGGTCTCTGCACTCAGGGCTGCAGCTGCCACTACCCCAAGTGGGGCAGGGGGGCTGTGCCAGCCCCCCACAGTTGTTCAGCTTCACACTGGAGCTATTGAGCCCCGGGCAGGGAGGGGAAGGGAGCAGAGGCAGGTGGGCACCGACACCCTGGTGAGTGGCTGTGGGTGTCTGGTGGCAGCTGCAGACACAGACAGGTTTCACATGGCACAGCCTCAGCTGTCTGGGAACGTGCTGAGCTCGTCACAGAGGAACAGGCTCAGCACACAGCCTCACAAAGAGCAGGATGGTGAAACAGGTAACACAGCCAGTGGCAGGACAGAGGGAGGTGATTCCCAGCTCATCCCAAACACACCGGCATGACTCTTCCCGGGTAATCCTCTGTGCCAGCCCCAATTTTGGCCAGGACGACGGGGAGAGCTCTGGTGGCTTCCTCCTCTGCTGGTTGCCAGAAGCAGGGGAGGAAACTGCAGCTCCCAAAGGGCACAAATTCAGCAGAACATGGACCTGGCAGCCACCCCGTGTGTCCCACCCCAGCCACGCCACCCTCTCCATCTGCCTCCCTGAACAATATGCTGGGAACAACTCCCGGTTCTCTGGGCTCCAGAGTCTGAGCGCTGATGACGTTCAGACAAGTGAAGTGACACGTGCGAGGCTGAAAAACACTTGTGGCAGCACACGAGACCAGACCAGGCTTGGACAGGATGTCAGGGATGGATCCCTTCCCACACCAAACCCAGCCCTGATTCTCTTTGCAGTCGTTCCTCTTTAATCCCCAGCTCCAAGGGTAAGGTCCTTAACTCGAAGAGTGGATCCTATCGACATAAAAACGTTTAAGGCAGGAGGATTTCCTCTCACTCCCCTCGTCCCCCAGCGCAGCAAAGGGAAGAGCTGTGGCTGGAAACACAGCGATGGGAGCGGGGCCACCAACCAAAAGTGCTGGAGCCTGTTCCTCTGCTGAGGTCGTCCTTGGAAAAAGAGAGGCTGGATGTTTGCACAGGCAAGAATTCCTCCCTCCCAGGAGCCCAGCCATGCCGAGCTGTCGCCTGCAGATGTCAAGGGAAAACCAGCATTTCTGCGGCACTGGAGGCTCGTGGTGATGTGTTTAGGAGGGTCCCAGAGGGGCACGAGGGTCCAGCCCAGCCCAGTTCTGTGTCGCCGACTCCCCCAAAGCATCCCCAGCTGTACAAGCCGCTCTTTGTTTGCTCCTAAAGGGCAAAGCCTCCTCCCAGCCGAAGCATTCCCTCCCTGGCAGGGATTCCATGAGGCAGAGGTGGGGGGGGGAACAGCCCAGGAGCCTGAGGTTTCACCCCACGCAAAATGTTTCAGCACAAGCTCATTGCTACTGAAAGAGGGGCCTGGCCTCATGGCAGCACTGAGGCTTAATTCCCCCCCCCCTCCTCTTTTTCAGCTAAATGAGTCTTGTTTATCTGCTCCTGCCTGGTGGGTCTTCACTGAACCCAGCACGGGGCAAAACCCCCTGGGCTGGGGAAGGGCTGTGGGGTTCACCTCCTGGCACCCCACTGCTGCCTCCCTTGCTCTGCCCCTGGATGAGCTTCCTCCTTCCACAACAACCTTTGGGAAATGGGAGATTTGTCCTCATTAGGGCCAGGGATGAGGTCTGGGCCCCGGGAGGAAGAGGCGCTGCCAAGGCTTAATCGGGTTAGGGGCTGCAATTCAGGAAGGCATCGCTCATCAGCCGCGGGGCTAACGAGGGCTGGTTCCTGCCTTGGAGGAGGGAACTGGCCCTGCATGGCCAACCCTCACCCATAGAGCAGGCACTGAACCCCCCAGGGGACCTCTCCTGGTGATGGAGGTGCCCAAGGACTGTACTCTACACCCCTTGCACTGACAAACACATCACACATCTGGTATGGGGGGAATCCTTACGGAGCACAGCAAGGGCTGTGGCTCCTGTTCACCCTGTGAGCCAGGAATCAGCTCAGAGAGAGGGGGTGATGGGCAGAAATGGCACAGAGCATCTCTCCAACAACCCAGTGCTGTGCTGGAACCCAGGTGTCCTCCAAGAAGGGGGACAGGAGCTCAAGGACATTTCACTCTGGTCCTGTCTCTCCCCACGGTCTGGGGAGTGGATGATGCTGGTGCTGCCAGCACCCCTGAGTCACCAGCCACCCTCACCACACCCTCTGCTTCGCCTCAAGCACGGCTCCAGCATATCCACAGGCCATCAAGAGCTGGGGACACACGTGGAACAGGGCCAGGCAGCGCTGCCTGGAGGTGTCCCTTGTCCTGGGGCACAGTCAGCACCGGGCTGCACAGGGTCCCTGTGCAAGGAGCCGGGTGGGCACTTTGGGATCACCACTGGGAGAAGCCAAACAGGCAGTGGAAAGGTCCAGCCCAAAGGTAAAGAAGCTGACCAGGGACAGAGGGGTGGCAGGAGGGAGAGAGCAGGCAGCTGCCTGTACCTCCCAACCCAGACCCTCCTCCACCCATGCAACTCTTGCAGCAGTGTGTCTGTACTGGTTAGACTGGTCCCCTGTTTGCACAACCTCTCCCCCTCCAGCCAGCACCTCTTCCCTCACCCCAGAGAACCCAGCACTGTCACATCCAGACACATCATGCAGTGGCATCCCTGACCCCCACCCTCCCTCTGTGCTGGTGAGACAACCCCTGTGGTGAGCAGCAGCGATGCTGTGGGTGCTGATAACACCACCCCGGGTGCCTGCCCTGTGGGAGATACCCGGTGCTTCCCCATGGCTGATGGGCACAGTGAGGGATGCAGAGGGCTGCCAGTTAGTTCCTTATTAGCCAAAGTGTCACCGTGTCAAGGTCAGCAAAGCAGCCCCAGACCAGGTGCTGACCCAAGGGCTTTGGGGTGGGCAGGGAGAGCCGGCAGAGCAGGCACATCCCCGTGCAACTGGATGTCAGGGAGCACAATAAAACCTGAGCAGGTCCTTCCTGATCCCACCAGCAGTTCCAACCCCTCCAGAGAGTCAGTCTTGTGGCTGCTCCATTCCCCCATGCCCCACAGACTCGGGACACCTCAGCCAAACTGAGCCTGACCAGCAGCAACGTGGCTCAGCAGCCGATCGTGCCCTTCTCTGAGCAGCGCTGCCACAGCCAGCGGGTCCCCACGCACACGAGATGAGCTGCAGCCCTTTTGCAAACGTTGCGGGGACTTTACGAGGGTTTCGAGGCTTGGAGAGCAGCCCCGATACCGCGCCCAAGGAAGCGGGGACACACCAGAGGCAGGAATGAACAGCAGCGGCTTCCCCCGCAGAACCGCTCTTCCACCTCCCCGAGCGTGACTCAGAGACGGCTCAGCACAGAAACACCCCTGTCCCCCAGAGCCCCGCACACCAACCGCTCTCCAAAACCCACCGAAACCCGCCTCCCAGCCACGAGCTGCTCTTTGGGAACCCCCTGGAATCACAGAACTTTTTTTCGGGGGGGGTTTGTCAGCGCTCACGCACGAGCTTCCCAGAGCACAGTTCACGGTAGGGAAAATCTCCACATCCATTTTCCACGGGGCTGGCTCTGCAGCCAGCACAGCCAGCTCCCAGCTCCCCCGCCAGCCAAGGCTGCGGGCCGGGCATTTTTTGCAGCCCTCGAAAGATCGTGGCCAAGATAGTTCTGGGCTTGCATAAGGTAGCGAAAGCCTTTAGACAGCTCAGCTCCTCCTCCCGCCAGAACCCGGATCCTTGGGATCTGGGAGCAGGGATCTGGCGAGCGGCAAGTGGGATGAGAGAAGCTGGCTTATCCAAGGACAGAGATGCAGCGGTGCACGAGAAACAGAAAGTTAAACGTAAATAAACCCCCGCACAGCTTCTGGAGACGATTGTAACAGGCAGCACGTTCTCTCCCTCCCACTAGGTAGAGTAATTATGACATCTTCCGAGGAAAGCTAATTTTAGCCTCATTTGGTACGGACTCAAAACGAGGCGTCCAGAATAAGAGGCGAAAGATCAAATGGAGGAAGAGGGGGTTGTCCCGACACTGCCCTGCCCGGATCCGGCCGCGAGCCAGAGCTGATGACGGAAAGGGATCCGCTTGCTCCTTCCATGGAGCGGGACTCGGGGAGCTCTGAGTGCTACAGAGACACATCCTGACACTGCACGGGCTGGCAGAGCCCGGGGGAAGCCCAGTGCCAGCCCCTGCCTGGCCAGCAGTGACATCGGCCAGGGAGCCCCGTGTCCTCAGGGAGCCTCGTCCTCAGGGGACCTGCACTGGTCACCGGCAACAGCCCCGAGGAGGGGAGGGCAGAGGCACCCAGTGACAGCAGGGAGGGGCCCAGGAGGGGGGCATTTCTGATGGCAGGCAGGGAAAGAGATGAATCCAATGGGAAGCGGCTGGGGGGGTTCGAGACTCGATGCGGACTGGGAGCACATCACTCGGTGGGTGATGTGGGAGAGGGACACGAGTGCTGCCCCTGCACAGCTTCCCCCAAAGCCACGGACCCCACAGAGCGGGAGCAGCTCGGCACAGGGAGGGTTAAGGCAAACAAAACCCGAGCAGGTTCTTTAACTGGTGCCAAAGACACCAGAGGAAAATAGGACGAGCAGGCGAGATCTGTGGGCAGGACAGAGCCAGCTGGCTGGCACCACTTCCCGGGCTGTGCCGGAGCGTGTTTAGGAATAGCTCCAGAATGACGAAGGCAGAGGGGCCGCCAGCCTGGCGCTCGTGCCCCGCGTCGCACGGACCCTCCCAGAGGCCCAGGGCATGTCTGCCCAACCCCAGCCCTGAGCCTTCACAGCTCTGCTCCCCGAAACTCCCCCCAAGGGCATCCCGGCCAAAGATGGCGCTTCGAGGGAGAGCGGGAGTGCTGAGAGAGCTTCTCTCCTCTCTCCGTCCTCACATGGACACTCCTGCCCCAGCTGGGTCATGGATTTTTCCTCTCCCTGCCTCCTCCAGGTTGCTCCTTCTTCCCTCCCGGCTCCCTGCCAAGCATGACGACAGCGCCAGTCCCGCTGCGGTCCCCCCTGTTCCCAGGGCACTCACCGGGCTTTCAGCTCCTTGTGCTCCTCCCGGACTTTGCTGAGCTCCAGCTGCAGCCGAGCTCTCTCCTTGGCCACGGAATCCAAGGTCTTGCGGGCATCCGCCAGCTCCGACTCGTAGGCAGCCTTGATGCCCGAGACCTCTCGGCTCACCACCTCCTCGGACTCGGTGATGCGGAGCCTCAGGCCGGCGTTCTCCAGCTCCAGAGAGCGCACCTTGTCGATGTAGACGGCCAAGCGGTCATTGAGCTCCTGCAGGTCCTCCTTCTCCTGCAGGCGGGTGATGCGGGTGGGGGACAGGGGGGTCCCCGAAGCCCCGCTGCGGGTGCTCCTCTTCTGCGAAGGCGTCGCCATGGGGTCCGGTGTCGAGGCGAAGGACACGGCACAGGTCACGGCGCGATGTCCCACGCCACCCGCCCAGCTGTCGCGGCAGCTCCCGATGTCTGAGTGACTTGCTTATATCCCAGCTGGGCTGTAACTGGGAGGAGGAGCTGCGAGTCAGCGGCGGGTGGAGTTATCCAGAATCGGGGTGGAGACAACTCGCAACTGTCGCGGCCCTTCCTTGGGAAAAGGCATCCCTGGGAAAAGGGGACTTGGGAGGGCAGCTCTGGGGGCACATCTCGGGGTGACTCCTTGTGCACCCCCCCTTTTCTGGGGTGATTCCCCCCACGGAGGCTGGATTGAAGCTTGGAGGGGGGATTTGGTGCAGGCAAAGCACACCCTGAGAGGGGCTGCAGAAATGAGCACCCCCCAGGACATCGCTGCCCCACACGGCAGGACAGGCAGCATCTCAGCAGCTGTGACCCCACCCCAGGGTGTGTGGGGTCCTGAATGCAGGAGCCACGGGCTGCACAGCCCAAACTCTGGGGTACAGGGACCCAAATACAGTCCCAGGTCACCCAAGACACCCTGGCCTGGGGTCCCCCTCGAATCCTGAGGCATCACAGAGCCCTGGGGCACCAGAGGATTGCCCCCCCCCCCCCCCCCAGTGGCTTTGCCCAGTTCTCTCAGCACTAGCTACCCCCATTTCCCAGCTATCCCCAGTACTAGCTGTGGCCAGTTTTATCCTTCCTCCCAGCTGTGACAATTTGTAACTCCACAAATCCTGAGCACCCGTTGAACTTGGTTTCCCCCCACCCCAATTCCCTGCACCGTTTCCTGCTCTCCTTCCTCCAGCCATTCCCAGTCCCACCAGCAACTCAGCCATCCTTCCAGTATGTCCAGTTCCCAGAGTGGGGTGATTCCAGGTCCTCCCAGGTGCTGGGAGCAGAGCTTGGGGTGCTCTGCCTCCCTTGAAGCGCTGCCAGGACTCAGGCGGCTCCTGATTTCCAGATCTGCCACACATTTCCTGGCACCCCCAAGTGCTGCCACGGCGCAGGGGGGGCCTTTTGGACTTCCCCCCTGTTTCCTTGTGTTGCTCTGTGACGCTAATCCCTCCCATGCGGGAGAAATGGCACTGAAATGACAAGGGGAAAGGAAAAGCAACCCTTTTACACCCTAGAAACGAGTGGTGGGCGGGGGTCCTGAGGGCTCCAGCTTCCTCCTCGTGAGCCCCTGCTTGGGAAGTTTGGGCATTGAAAGCGGGAAAGGGAGATGCCCCTCGCAGCTGGGGACGCCGGCGAGAGCCAGGGCACCCCAAACCCAACCTCCCCGAACCGTTCCCTGAGGACGGAGGGGGTCCAAGGTCAAGGGCACAGGCGACATGCCGCCTCCTGGCTCCTCCTGTCCCTGCTGCAATCCAAGCTCAGTTGGCTTCCCGGCTCGGGGAGCTCAGCAGAGCCGCAGGCGGGCTGGGAATGACTCACACAGCAACGGAACAACACACGCGAACACGCAGAGCACACACAGACACTCCGGCAATGATTAACGTGCTGGCAGCCCATCAGTGCCGCCCGCCAGCGCACGGTAGCGGGATGGGGAAGGGACCCCATCAAACTTTTAAAAAGCAACGATCAAACTTTCAAGCAGCGACAGCCCGACGCCAGGAATCTGCCCCAGAGCCATGACGGAGATGGGGGGGCCGAGGGGGACGGGGCCCGGCACAGCCCTCCTGGCGGGGCCACGGGGAGGGGTTTGGGAGGTGGTTGGGGTGCTCGTGTCACCCCCCGGCCCCCTCCCCTCCCCCCCAGCCCTCCTTGCACCTCCTTCCCCACCCCTGCTCACGGGAAGACCCTCTCTGCACACAAAGTGCTGTGGGCAGGGGGTGACTGTGCCCACCCAGGGCTGGTCTCCCTGCGGCCCCGGGGGGTGGGGATTGTGTCTCGATAGGAGAAATGGAAGCTCTCCTTCACCCCTCTCCTTTGTTCAGCCCCAGATGAATTCCCCTTTTCCTCCCTCCTCCTGCCTCCTCGCCCGTCCCAGGCTGCCTCTCCCCCCACACACACACATCCTCCCATGCGCGTAGCCCCTTCCCTGCTGGGGGGACACCCCAGCCCCGCGGACCCCCACGCGTGTCACGTCCCCGAGGCGGGCGCGCGTGGCAGGGCCGTGCCGTGGGGCAGAGGGTGCAGAGGGGATGCTGGCGGCGGCCCTGGCCCCACGGTGAGCCCCGCCGCAGAGTCTCGCTGCCGAAGGCGGGTCCAGCCTGCGCTGGGCTCGGCGGTGGCTGCCAAGCCGCGGGGCGCTGTGGGACACGCGCGGGCCGCCTGCCACTGCGCAGCTCTGTTTGGTTTTGAAAAGTAACCCCCGGGTGGGAGGGAAAGCGCTCGTGCCCTTTGCCCAACGGTGCTCCCCGACCGGGAGGTGTCCACCAGGGTCCAGAGCACCCCCAGGGACAGGGACAGCGGGGCCAAGGCTTCCTTGCTTAGTGTGGGAAACAGCATCCAGGGCAAAGGCAGGGAGGGACAGGCTTGGGCAATAGCTGAAAATCACAGCTAAGGGTCACTGGCACAGCCAGGCCCTGCTCTGGCACCCCCAGCACCTCCTGGCTCCCCGTGAAGCTCCTGCCGTGCACGGGCCCCTGGCTCGCAGTCCCACTCCTCACCGCCCCGGGGGGATGAGCCTGAGGGCTCCCCCGAGCTGGAGGAGGACAAGGCAGGGGACCTGAGGGAACGTGCTGGCTCCAGGGCCTGCAGTGGTTGTTGGCAGCCCGGAGTGAAGAGCCCTGGGGAGGGTCAGACTTCGGCTCCTTTGCAGTAGTTGCTGCACGCAGAGCTCCCCAACATGGGATGGCTGTTGATGCCCCCACACCACACCTCTGCAAACCCTCTTCTTCTGGGCACAGACAGCCCCACACTGCTCTGTTCCCCCCCCCCTCCACCACCAGGGAGCTGCAGGGCCATGTCCTCAGCCCCACTGCAGAGCGAGGCAGGCAGGAGCATCCTGACCCAGCACGGGCGCAGGGGGATGGGGAACCCACCACCAGCACAGCCCCCAGCCAGTCACTGGCTCTGGCAAAGAGGCACTTGGCACTTGTGCGAGGCAGGAGGGTTTAACTCAAACCAGATGAGCCAGGAGGACAGTCTGTGCTCCACGGCTCCAGCACGGGCACGGAGCCACGCTTCAGCCCACAAACATGGAGCTCTCCAAGTTCTGTGGGCTCCAAAGGAACTCGGGGTGCAGGACCCTGCAGCAGAGCAGCAGAAGGGTGAGGGGTGGATGGGAGCTTGGGGCTTGAGGAGAGGCTCTCAGCTCGGGCTGTGTCTTCCACATGTGACTCACAAGGCAGAAAGCAGCCACGTCCCTGGAATTTCAACCCCCTTCCAGCTCTTTAGCCTCCAAAATATTCCAAGAATATTGGGAGCCTGCAAATGTGCTGCAAACACTTGTGCACGTGTGGGCAGTGATGGAGCTGCAAGGGGAGCTTCAGCTGCAGGGACCCCCACACCAATGCAGCTGCTCTGGCACAGAGGGGTGAGGAAGGGGACATGCCAAGGGGCCAGGCAGTGCCCCTCGGGGGAGCCCTGTGGGCTGCTTTTCCAATGGCTTTTCAGCTCCTTTAGGCTCTTAGCAAGGATCCTGGGTTCACTGCCCAGACTGCACAGCTTTTGGCATCAGAGCAACCCAGGGCTGAGCCACCCCAGTCCCCAGACACCTCCCAGGTGCTCTCCCCAGCCCATGCACTGCCCTCACTCTTGGCCCCAGCACAGGGCCATTTCTCCAGCTATTTCCTTTCCAGGGCACACACACCCCATCTCCAAGTGGGATTTTCCCTTTCCAACCCTCTCTTCTGGCCAAAAAAGACGTAGCACCCTTAGCTCTCCACCCCCACCCACCCTACTACCAGAAGAAGGAGATCCCAGCCTCCAAACTTTTTCCCATCTGACCCAAGAGAGCTGAAAATTGCTGGGTTGGGTGCATGGAGCAATCCAGTAACCCTATAGCCCTGGCTAAATGCCATTCCCGAGGATGAGGGGAAAGGTGGTGGCAGAGACAAGAGTGGGAGATCTGGAGAAAGGGGAATGGCTTTAAACTGAAAAAGAGGAGGTTTAGATGAGCTGTTGGGAGGACATTCTTCCCTGTGAGGACAGTGAGGCCCTGGCACAGGTTGTCCAGAGAAGCTGTGGCTGCCCCATCCCTGGGAGTGTCCAGGACCAAGCTGGACAGGGCTTGGAGCACCCTGGGCTGGTGGAAGGTGTCCCTGCCCGTGGCAGGGGGTGAGATAAGATGGGCTTTGAAGTCCCTTCCAACCCAAACCAGTCTGTGATTCCATGATCTCCCCATCCAGCACCCTGACCCATCACATCATGCCAAGCTGACCTCTAAGCCCTGGCTGCAATGGGCTTCCAGTTCCACCCCCCCCCCAAACAATCTGTGCACATAAGGAGTTTGGGGTGTGTGTATAGAGGAGTTTTAATTAGCTAATAATCTTTAATAGGGTTTAATTGCCTTGTTATAAAAGGTAATTACAGCAATAAATCAATTAGAGCTGTAAAATTAATAGATTTACCAGTTGTATTTATTGAGGAGCTGCGACTGGCAGCACACAGCAGCCAGGACAGTGCCAGTGGTTCTGCTCTGGTATCCAGCAGTGGGAAGGAGAGCAGCCCCCAGGCTGCCCTGGAATGGATCCTGTCCAAGCCCCTCCACCCAGGACAGTCTGGGAACCACCAGGAGCAGCAAACTGCCCTGTGAGCAGCAGCCAGGCAGAGCAGATGGACAGACAACGGGCCAAATGGGCTCTGTAGGTGCAGGCTCAGGCTCAGGGGGCACCTGCCATGTCCCTTGGGGACACTGGAACGAGTCACCTCAGCTCTGCTGGAGCTCCTGAGATGGGAACAGCTCTGGATGTCTGCCCACACCAACCACAAGGATGCCCACGTTCCCCCTGCATTTCCATGCTTCACTTTCAAGAAAAAAAAACCATCCCTAAAATCCAGTGTCTGAGCTCCTCTTTAGAAGACAGCAGGGACCCGTTTGTGCAGGGACCCACGGGTTCAGCAGCAGAGACAGAAGCCCACCCACAGTGCCAGGTGTGCTCTGGGGTGTGTGCAGCTCCCCCAGACCCTCCCAAACCCTCA